CAGTTGCCTACCAGCTTGACCTACCATCCAATTGGAAAATCCATCCAACATTTTATATAGAAAAATTAAAGAAATTCGAGCGTAGCACAGAGTTTCAGCGGAGCGTCACTTCACCCCCAGACACCATCGAGATTGAAGGTCATTCAGAATATGAGGTTGAAGCCATCATTCGACATCGAGGCTCGACTTCCCGCCGACAGTATCTTGTAGCTTGGAAAGGCTATGAACTACATGAGGCTACTTGGGAACCCGAGGCCAACCTCACCCATTGCAAAGATCTTCTTGCTGAGTATCTCCTTTGGTTACAACGACACGAAACAATCACGAAGACCAGACATGATCGAAGACGGAAGTGATGGACTGCGTGGGCTATCGAATAGCAAGGTTTCAGTATTGATTTGGTCGTGGTATGGGACACGATGAGCCGGGTCAGTCTGAGATCCTGTTGGGTACACCGTAGCTTCCGCCTGGCTAGTTTTCTGATTGTGTGTTGAGTGGCCGAGGACGTCCACACTCGATGGGGGGGGGAGAGTTGATACAGAATGTTGCACGCAATGCTGGACAATTATATATGTAACAATCACACGCGGGGGAGACACTCCTCCCTCTCTCTCGTTGACTCAAGCGCGCCCGCACCAGGTGTTGCAGGATGGCTGGTTCCGCGGCTCCGCGGGTGGGCCCCGGAGATGACTCAGTGGGGGATGGGCGTGGGCGCGACGTGATGAGGGAATCGCGGATATCGCTGGCAGGATCGGGCCGAATCGGGCGCCATCAATTTGACCTGTATGTTACTTCGTCGTGAGCAGCACGGAAACGGGCCAGCCAGCATGCAAGATTTCCAGGCAGTCATTATAGGGATGAGGTGGTCATTAAAGGGAAGGCAAGATACCAATAGATTCTAAATTCAATTAGCAATCGAATGGTGGTTTTTATTGTTAATTTGATGCAGAATTGCGTTTTCTAAGGGGTTTTTTCGATGTCCGGCGGAAGGCCACAGGGAACCAGGCTGTTCGGAGGCCTGACAAGTGACTGATTGGACTGATGGTCAGTCAGAGGGCGGTAGGCGGGATGTTGAGGCGAGCGCGCATGGATTCCATGCGGATTTCACGCTGTGCGCTCGAGAAGGCCCTCCGTGTCGTCTGTGAGCAGCGCAAGGATGGCCGGTTCTCAGGGCAGCTCCCGCATCGACAAAGTCTTGGAGTGGCGCCATGCCCAGTCTCTCCCGGGGCTAAACGAAGTGCGGGATTTCTGCCATCAGCTGGAGCAGTTCCAGGTGGCACGGCTGGCGGCGCCAAGCGGGCAGGCGTCTGGTTCCAGTGGAGCACTTCAAGAAGACAAGAAATGGAGGCGGGCGCGAGACCTGCATGGTGCTCTCATGTCGGTGTGGGAGGAGTCGCTGGCGGACGATCAGAAGATCTTCGACGCCGTCATACATGCCGGGATGGGCTTCCAGGCTTCCCTGGACATGCAGCCGCTGGCGCCGGCAGTCAGAACAGAAATAATAGCGCAGTTTGAGACCATGTGTTACATGGGTCTCAAGCCGGCATGGGATGCGGCTCGGAGGGACAATGAGTTGTCGCAGCTGCGGCTGCTTGACAACAAGCCGGTGGTGTGGCGGGCTGCGGAGGCGATTGAGGATGATATTCGTGCGGCCAGGTTGAAGGTCATCGATGACTATTTCCACCAGCGGTTGAAGGTACAGTCTTTGGAGGAGGCGTTCCTGGAAGACGGACGGGTGAAGGCGCTTGAAGCGGACAGGGCATTTCTAATGCGGTTGCCGCCAGCCCCTCCCAGGAAGGACATGCGCTCACCAGCTCTGCGAAGGGCGATTGGGGAGTGGCATGCGCGGGATATGGAGATCAAAGAGAAGTGGAGGATTGATGCCGTCCGGGCGGAAGTCCAGGGGTGGCTTCAGGGACACAAGCCCAGGCCTGACTTCGACCGTGAGGATACGCCACCGGCGGAGAGGCATGGGTGACTGGGCAGCGCATGGCGCTGGGTGCGGCCGCCGGACAAAACATTTTTTGATGTGACATGTAAGTATCGATTAGACCGTATATGGGATCAAGGGGATGGTCTGAGGCCGTGTGAACGGGAGGCTGTGTGATGGTGGTGAGCTGAAGTTGACTTGGTAGGGAAGGATGGGATCAAAGGAGTCTGACGAGATGACCAGCAGGGCGGTGCGTTGGTCGTGTGGTCAAGGGTATCCAGCTGTGTGGTTGTGGGAAGGATCTGGATCTATAGGTGGACCTTTTTGTGGACCTTTCGTTTTGTCGTATGAACCTGACTGCGGTAATGTATAAAGTGGCGGGGGTGCGCAGTGTAGCCGCCCCCGGTCTGTAAGAGCGTTCTTGCTTGCAACCGGAGCACCTGAACGGGCCTCCTCACGAAGTGAGGTTGGGACCTGACGGTCGGGCGGGTGGTTCCCTGCTAAGGGATAAGCCCAGCGTCCAGTGTGTGGCGATTTCGATCGCATTTCGACGCGGTGAATCGATATACGGTGTTTTCCGCATGTTGAATTCTGCTGTGCGAAAGAATGATTGCCATGCCGGACACGAATCTTTGCGTCAGTATGCTAAAAGATTGATGACGAGTGAGGGGGACGCTAAGAAATCATGTAATTGCACCAAAATTAAAATAAGGCAAAAAGAGGTCCACAACGCCTTCAAGCCATCAGAAAACGCGTACCAAAGTATGTGCAATGGGGAAATGCGCTTAGATGCGATCACAGCGCCCACATGGCAGCGATCACGGCGCATGCTGCAGTTTCGTGGCTGTCACAAATCGCTCTGGGGATTGTATGAGGCCAGCCAGCATGACCCACCTATTCACACTAAGCCGGAAGCTGGATCAGGGACGACAAGCACCTGGACTGGATTTACAGAAATGCTTTTCTCCAGCTGTTTGGGAACCACATCAACAACGACACATGGAACAACTATATTTTGCTCATGGCCGATGTTAAAACGCTGTGTTGGGTCAGAGTAGCTCGAAGTGCCAAGAAACTATCGTTGCGTCAGACTTCAACTCATTTGAGCATCCCTGGATGCCAATACATGGGCCTGATCGTGTAGAAGGGAAACGGACAGAATGATTGCAACTTGGTAGCAGCGGACCTCGCACTGTTTGCTGCAATGGATTTGGATGCGAGCCCTGCTAGGGTTTGGACACAATTGCTGCCCAAGACTATCTGTGTGTGTACTGCCACTTGCTGTCGTGGATATTTCCTAGTCTGTTGTGGCATGAAATTAGCTGCTCTGCCTTTTCCGTGGAGATCCCTTCTTGTTTCGGACACCCTAAACCCTAAGAACCACTGACCCACTGTCCGGCGTTGGCCTTGTCAGGGGAAGAGGGGATCGTCTCCGGAAAGACAAAGGGACCGATATCTTCTCGCCTATTGTAGAAGGCGAGATCTTGGCTTGCGTCATGCCGACTCGAACCGTGTTGGCGTTCGGCACGTCAGCTGCGCTGGATCAGTGTTCACGCAGCGTTTCCAGTGGGTGCCTAGTCTAACTGCAACGACGACAGGACCAACTGCCAGGGCGGTTGCTGAGGAGGGTTGGCTGCGAACCCGGTGTGCAGAATGATGGCTCAAAAGCCGAGGGCTGGGCACGTCACCAAAGGCGCAACCTCTGTGGATCGCCGCTTTCGAGCCGAAAGCGCTCCTTGCTGGTACGGGTGCCCTTCCCCCACGTTCGTCACCATTTAGCCATGCGTGACGTGCCACATCCAATCGCCGGTTCCAGGCAAACTGGCATTTGCCAGCCGCTGCTCCTCAGATGGTTTGTGTTCCATGGGGTGTCCGTTTTTGACTGGTGGTTCCCTTAGTGACCCCGAGGTGCATAACCCCACGGTCTTCCATCGTTTCCGAACTGGATCCCTGGGCGTCTGAACAGTCGAGACATTTCAACACGATTTCCTCAATGATAACATGCTAGCTCCTTGTGCCGTTTGGCACTGGGGCTTAGGGCTCACTGGGATTATGTGGTTGCCGCCACGATGAACTAATCTCGACACCAGATCGCTCGAATCCGCTTCTCACAGGAATGCATGGAAGATTTTCTTGCAGCACAGGGCCCCACTGCCAGAGCGGTGGGGCCTGTGGTCTTCAGCCGCAAAAAGCCAGTGCATCTGCGAGCTCTATCGCACACTTGAACATTCTGGGATGGGCAATACGGCAGCCACAAAGGCTGACTGCCTACAAGGGTACCACTATTGTAGTTGCCGGCAGACACCAGGAGCCTGTGCACCTGCTGGCTCTAAATTAGATGCTGTTGATTGTGTGATGGAATTTGTGGGACTGATAATGTGTCAATAATTATCTGGCAATCCACCTACATATCAATCTCATGAGAGTAGAAAGGCTTGGGGCCGATGGTCAGAAAGGTTAGGCTGAGATGGAAAAATGGACAGCAAGGCTATGCCATTCCTGTTGTGGCAAGATGTATCGCTTTGCCTTTCCAGTACGTTTCTTCGTGTCTTTCCGTACTCCAGGTTAAGAATTTGCACTTGTTTCGGGCTCACACAGGTGCTTGCAAACTCGATGGCTTTGCCCAAGCGGCCATGGCTGTGGATGGGGGTGGCTGGGAAGGGGACGGCTTGGTACGTGTGCTGGCCTGTTCTGTGACGACTTATGAGCCGTCTGCTCACACGCCAAGGGCGGTGGCTGAGTCTGCATAACCTCCATCTCGCATGTGCGTGGAGGGCAGCAGTGCAATGCCACCGCTGGAGCCGACCATCTTCCCCCATTTGACTCACGCTGAATAGCTCAAATGGTCGGCCGGCAAGTTAACTTCAGCGAGAGGTGCTGCAAATGACGTAGAAATAGACTCGCAAGAAATGCAAGATGTCTTCCTACTTTGATTCGCCACAGCGCATGACGTTCCCACCGTTGCCCTAGCCAAATTGAACCCACGGGCGGCCATGGCTGCAAGGCTTCGCTAACGCTCATTCTTTCCCAAGAGACCCCGAGAAAGGCAAGGGATGCGCAAGGGCCGGCCATGGTTTTACCACGCGCCCTCACCTTCATGCGACACAGTGCCGCGCGAGGGGTCGCGGGCTCCCTTCGCGCAACAGCGGCCGCGGACGCCGCTGTCCGTCAGACATCCACCCTCGCCAGGATGGAGGATGGCAGGGCGCCGCCCAAGCGCCGCCGCCGCCCACCCCCTTCCGCGCCACAGCGAGCGGCGCCGGCACCGGCGTACAATCCTCTGCAACAAGATTCCAACGGGTACGCCCGGCCGCCGATCGCCAACGGGGCTAGCCCGCAGGGCATGATGAACGGGGGGGCGGCGTCGCGGACGTCCTCCACGACGAGGTCGGCCCTGACGTCGGTGCGCTTCGCGGACCTGGGGATCTCGGCGCCCCTGCTGCGCGCCATCACCGAGGTGTTCGGGTACGAGGAGGCGACGGAGGTGCAGGCGGAGAGCATACCGGTGTCGATGACCGGAAGGGATCTCCTGGTGAAGGCCAAGACGGGCACCGGCAAGACGATCGCGTTCGTGCTGCCGGCGCTGGAGCGCGTCCGCGCACGTGGCCGGAGCAGCAAGGCCGACGGCGTGTCGATACTCGTGATCTCGCCCACGCGCGAGCTCGCGATGCAGATATGCGAGGAGGCGCGGATGCTTTCCAGATTCCTGCCGGGCGTCGCAGTGCAGGCCGTGGTTGGCGGCACCAACGTGCGGACCGACGTGGCCAAGTTCCAGCGGGAGATGCCCACCCTCCTGGTGGCCACCCCGGGGCGCCTCCAAGACCATCTTTCCACGCCGTCGTCGGGGCTCTTGAGCGGCCTTTCGCGTCTGGGCACGCTCGTCCTGGACGAAGCCGACCGGCTGCTGGACATGGGCTTCCGGCCGGATCTCGAGCGCATTCTCGCCCAGCTCCCGCCCACGTCGGAGAGGCAGACGCTGCTGTTCAGCGCCACCATGCCCGCCGATGTGCGAGACATGGTCCGCCTGGCGCTGAAGCCGGACGCGGCAGTTGTCGACTGCGTGGGCGAGGAGGTGGCCACGCACGAGCGGGTGGAGCAGCGCCTGGTCGTGACGCCGCAGGAGGGCCAGATCCCCGCGCTGGCCTGCTGCCTTGCGGAGATGATGCGCGTGCCCGATTACAAGATCCTCGTCTTTTTCGGGACCGCGCGGCAGACGCAGCTGCACGCTGAGCTGTGGTGCGTGATGGAGGGGGGCCACCCGGTGCTGGAGATCCACTCGCGGAAGTCGCAGGGACACAGGAATAAGGCCAGCGACTTCTTCCGGAACAACAGCAACACCATCATGTTCTCGTCTGACGTCACCGCGAGGGGGATGGACTTCCCGGACGTGACTGGCATTGTGCAGGTGGGACGGCCGGCAGACCGGGACCAGTACATACACCGTCTGGGAAGGACGGGGAGAGGCAGTGGCGCGGTGGGAAAGGGCGTCCTGTTGCTGACTGACTGGGAGGCGGCGAGCTTCACTCGCCTGTTGGGAGATCTTCCCGTGAGCGTGGCAGATGGGTACCCAAGAGCGGATCTGGATGCTAACTCGGCAAGGATGTCGGCGGGCTTTAGGTCAGTGTCGCGCCAGACGAAGCAGCAGGCCTACCAAGCCACGCTTGGCTACTACGCCCAATACATCAAGGCTCTGGGGCGCGATTGGACAAAGGAGCGACTTGTGAGTGTAATTAACGATTACTATCTCAACATAATTGGAGAAGATGAGGTCCCTGCGCTGCGTGCGAGCACTGTCTCAAAGATGGGGATGAAGGGCGTGGTGGGAATACGAGTCGAGCGAGGCGGTGGAGGTGGGGGCAGGAGTGGCAATAGGGGCGCAGGATCAAGTGGAAGGCAACACGCAGTTGGTGGTGGCGGTTCTGATGGAAATGCTGGCAGAGGACGCCCAGCAAGTGAGAATGGCCGTCGCCGACCGCTGAGTGCTGCAGGGCCATCTGATTATAGCGGTCATCAAGAGTACAGCACAGGTTTTGCCAGGGCACACCACCCAGGTGGCAGGGGTGGTGGTGGTAGTCGCCAAGGGGTGGGTCGTGGCAGGCCAGGCAGATAGTTTGTACTAATCATTTTTTGACTCCTGTGCGAAGCACGCAAGGAGTCGGTCCTCTCATCTGGCCAGGCACCTCCAGCAGTGTCATGGTTGTTGTGGCATTCATTGATATCCTTACATTTGCGCACAAGCTGCTTTCCAATGAATGGAAAGGAATCGGTCAGTTGTAATCTACTTATTCATTAGAATGCTTCTCAGCAGCCTATTTCCTGTGCCAAACGTGAGGAGTGGGCGAGAGTTGTGTTGTCAGACATACTGCTGACACAGTTTCCCCCTATGCTGTCTTCAAACGTACCACGTTTTTAGGAGATCTAGTCGGCATGAGGCATACATGTTCAAATGAGGGACCTGGATTATGCAGCGAAGGTGCACATTTCGGTGTTTCCCCCCAAACCAACCAGCAAGCAAGATTCCCGCACAGCTTGCAAGATTCTTTCAGATGCATTCTGCACACAGTAAGCCTTTGTGTGCTGCCAAGTTGATGGAACACCATGACCATTCTGTGGGCAACCAAAGGTGCTAGATACGGCGTCATGCTGAAGCTGCTTAAAGCCAAGTTGAGGGCCCAGAATCCACTGAGTGCTGCCTTGCTGGTGATGTGTAAATGGGCGAACACCAATCTGAACACAGCCATAGCTGTTGTCCTAATAGCTGTCCGAATGCGCATACTTTAGAACTCTACGCGTTCGAAGGTATGGCGTGTGGGCATTGCAAAGTGAACTTATCAACCCTGGTCGACCAGCCAGTCTGTGACATGCCCACGTCTCCAGCTACAGCTACAGCTTTGAGTTCTACATTCAAGGTTTGCAAGACGTTGACGACGCTCCCCTTCTGCCGATCGCTCATTGGTGGTACGTATTCCAGGATGGAGACAACGTGGCGTTGAGCGTAGTAGAGCGGTCGAAAATGGGACCTGGTGCGGCATGTGTTCCCAAACTAGACAAGGACAGCTTGTTATGAGCATGCAGCATTGAATCAACCAACCGTACCACTGCCAGCACCGGCAGGACGCCACCTCCGGGTGGGATGGAGTGTCTTTCCAGCATCTTGCACGCTCCAGTAGGCACTTGGCTTTCACGAGAGCTATCTGCGCTTGTGGATGGTGTGTTTCACAACAGGCTAAGCAGCACATTCTGAACGTAAGGTGGTGTAACCAGCTGCTCATCCGCATGTCCTGAGACACTGCCCTGTTGTGCGAGCCACCATCCTGAGTCTGGAGTTCGGACGGCGCCCTGGCGAGACGGCGTTTGGTCAGCAGGGTGCCTTGCGCATGTAAAGTATCAGGAATGGGATCCTGGCTGCCACGTGAACATGTTGCGCCCTTCCAGCACAGAAGCTGCACACGGCATGGCCAACCCCGGGTTGGCGTCGTTCGCCGCGAGGCAGTCTGAGTGCCGTTGCTTACTTTTGCCAAAAGCAAAGGCCTTGCACCTGGTGAGGCGATATGCGATGGCCTGTGTGTGTGTCCGCCCGGGGAGGACGGCCACGCCTGTCTATTTTTGGCCCTGGCAGAGATGGCAGGATACAATGATTGCTTGTGGTGGCTCTTTCAGTACCCTATGGCCTGTAGCCGTGGGAATACCCATCAAACGGCTCTTTGAGATTTCTCTCCCGTGTGGGCAAGCGCATCCTCACTATGCCAGCTGGTGTTTGCAATTAAAGGCGACGCGTCTTGAAACTGAACATTGTTGGCTGATGCCACTAACATTTTGACCAAGGACGGCTTAAAATGGAAGAAATTACTAACTGGCTGTGCACTTCCAAATGAAACAGCACGCATTAGAATGCTTTTGACTGTGTGGACATACAGTCATCTGCTCTAGCTCATGCAGTGACAGTGTCATCATGTCATACAATTGTGTGGTTGTATGATTGTATGATGCATATTGTATCACCAAGCAAGGTGATCGTACTATTGTGATGTTGCTGTCGCGCCAATTGTGTCAGAATGCTATTTGTGTAGGCCACAGGAGAATGCCAACAACCATGTGTATTGGCTTCGGCATTTCGTAATTCCATGTTCTAGCCAACCTCGGGCCGCCAGTCGAGTGTGAAGCCATGTTAGTGCATTCATACTGTACAGATAGACTTGCCCTTTACTTTTATGGCTCCATTTTTACGTTACGTTTACGTTTTTACGCGTAAAAGCGCGTAAATACAGAATCGGTTATTTTCACAGCTGTATTTACGCATATTTACGGCGTGTCGACACGCCCAGATTACACGATGATGTCCCAGATAATGATGAACTCCCCAAGCCCTGGAACATTGGCAACGCAACGTCCACCTCACCCTCGGCAAGGTGGACGACGTCGCGGAGAAAAAGACGTTTTTCTGAACATATTTCAGCGCGTCTAGCTGTCACTCCCCGGACTCCCTGAATCGGTATGTACTGTCGTTAGGTACACAAGGGCCATGTTTATGCATTTTTACGCCTATTTACGTCTTAAAACTCCAAATCCATATTTGTGACCTAAATAGCCGTAATTAGAAAAGTGTTTGCGCTGTAAATACCCAGCATGCGTACAGACCAAGATTGCGTTTGAGTACAGGTAAATACCCAGGTTTATCAGTATTCGTACATTTGACGTGTCACATTTAACAAACCTGGTTCCAATCACCAGAGCAGTAGTTGTTTCGAGGGCATTGGTCAGCAAGGGTGGCCGCAGGGCAGAGAGTGGGTGGCCATTTCAGTGGAAAGATGTTGTAAGAGGCCCTTGCTTCTCTGTGGCATAGTTCGAAACAATCTATTGGTGCAGTCACTGGATTGCATTGCGCTTACGCCGTTCAAAATGGACTGGATTTCCTGGAACTGTGAAAAAGTAAACATTTTGGATCCAAGCAGAGATTTTGGAGGAGCAAGTTTTTTGATGCGCTGTCTCAAATTTTGCAAAATTTCAGACATATTGTAACTGTGCTCAAGTTGACTTATAATGGGGCCATTTCGCTCTAACCGTTATATCGGTGCCTTGTCGTCGCGACCAAGGTGGTTTGGTTAACCGTAACTTCACGCTAAACATTAAGACTGAAGCTGGATTGGCAGATTTGGATGCTACCGGGAATGGCCAGCTTGGCACATCCTCAAGGCATGTTTTGACAAAAAGGGTTACTTGCCAAGCCGGGGCGGTTCTCCATGTCGATCGGGGCCATGAGAATGCATATCAATGCTGCGTCAAGCAATACATGTTCTCCATTCAGAATTTGAGGGTGGCTCCAGGCTCATTCAAGGCTAACCTCGGGAAAAGGAAAGGAAAACAAAAGAAGCGAAGGGGCCTCCCTTTCTTGCTGGTGTGCCTCATCGCTTGGCTGCGCCCTCGTTTCCCACTCTGGAGAAAAAAATCACCGCCAAAAAAAGCGGATACGCAGGCCGAGGGAGCCAGTGATGTGCCTCTCGCGCTTTGCCTCGAGGCACACGTTGCCCCGCGTCCGGCGCACCACACCCCAGCCAGCCTCCTCGCGTCCGCCGGGGCCGAAGAGAAGCGGAGGGGGCCCGCACGGGCGGGGTGGCGACAGGGGCTGTCTGCGCACACCCGCCGACATTGCCACCTCGAGCTCCTGAAGGTAACGCGATGACTCCGCCGTCCGGCCCAGTCGTATTGGTGAGCGCGCCTTCCATGCGCCTCCGCCCCCCTTGGTCCCGCGGGGCCCCTCGACTGCGCCGGGGCCTCGCGATGCACCCGACGGCCGGATGCCTCCTAAACCTGAAGTTCCCCAATCGCACTTCCTCCCCTCGCTCGCCCTCGCTGGCGAATCCCAGCTCCCCCGCGGCTCTCCCCCCCCCGCTTACGATGTCTCATCCGCCCTCCCCCTCCGTCCAATCGACCGTCCGGCATTCCTTCCCCGCGCTGCAAGCGCTCCGACCGGCTCCGGCCTCACAGTGGCGCCATCCAGCTGATCCAATGCGCGCATGCCGCTCCTCAGGGCCGCCCACGCCCCGGTCGGGTGCCGCGGTATTGGCCGGGCGCCGCTGTGGCGATGTCGGAGTCCATGGCCTCCGCCCGGTCGCTGTCCGGCAGTCTGGAGGGCGTGGACGCCCCCGCGGACGGCTGGGACTTGGACGACTTTGGCTTCGACTGCGAGATCGAGGCCACTGATGCGGAGCCCGGCCCTGCGGCACCGCACGGCGGGGGGCTGCCGCCGCGCGCCCCTGGCGGCTCGACGCATCCTCAAGAGTGGGGATCCGGTGATTCGGTCCAGGGGAATATGGGTGGTGGTGTGGCGTTTCAATCTGGGGAAGCACAGGCAGGAGGGGGGGCATCACAGACTTTGCCACAAGAACAAAGTTTTGGCTTGGGAGGTGATGGTGTGCTCGGCGGGGCGCCGGTTGTGGGCCCAGGGAAGGTGCAGGAGGAGGGAGGCGTGGAGGAGGATGTGGCCAACAACTGGCACGAGGGGGGGCTAGGGGTTGGGGGGAAATCGACAGCCCGTGGCACTGATTCCCTGGACGGGCGGAAGGGTAGCCGCGCAGAGGGTGCCAAGGGGGTGCTTTCTCCCACAGCGGCCCCAGACCAAATTCAAGCGGGAGGAGCCGGTGGTGGTGGAAATTTGGTGCTGGCGCCTGGCTCTGAAATTTTGGCGGGATGTCATGAATCTGAACACTCAGGCGACAAGAATAAATGCGAATCTGGACCTGTGTCAGCTCTACCACTGGAGCTCTCCGTGGCGAGCGTGCAGGGCAAGCCCCCTGGAACTGGCCTGATGTTACAGGCAGGGGCTGAACAGGCCAATCCCGATGGTGTGGCATTCGCGGAGCCGCAGGAGATGAAGTCACTGTCATCCTTGTTCGGTGGCGGCCAGGACGAGGACACGAGTTTCTTCGATTCGTTCCATCAAGAGCCTGTGCCAAGCACTGCGAAACAGCCATTGCAGGAGGGGTCCCAGGCACTTGGCTATGGGGGTAATGGACAGTTGGACGGTTCGACTGACGAAAGCGCGGCTTACTTTGAGCAACCCACAACTGCTGACATGGGGGGCCAGGGGACTCTCACACAAAACATCACGAGCGCAACAGCACAGGATTGGAACTCGAGCAGAATGCCAGTGGTGCAAGCTCAGCATATGTATCAGCCCTCAGCGTTCAATACCCCACTCAGGATGGAGCAGCAGCAAGCTGTGTGTAGTGGTGGGGTTCCTGCAAAATCCTCCTATGGGTCTTACCCGAAGGTTTCACTTCAGCACCCGGCCGTGGACACCAGGATGGGACATGGCTTGCCACACGGCACTCTCCATGCCCGGCCTGTGGATGATGGCACTTCCTTCTTCGATCAGCCAGATGAATATCCACAGGGCCAACATGGCACCAGCTCCATGCAACCACAGTCGCTGGGTGCTGACAGCAGCCCCAGCAACAGTTGGGCACAGGCGCAACCTTCTCTGCGCAGCAGGGATGCCTATGCTGGCTACACTGCCCGTCCTGTGGACGACGGCTCATCTTTCTTTGACACTTTTGCAGAAGATGGCACAGTGGGTGGGATGACGCAGGACTCAGCAGTCCCCAGCCGTGGTGATGCGACACAAGCTTCAGCAGTGCCCAGCCATAGTGATAAGGGACGATCGCTATTGACAGGTGGAATGCCCCAATCGGATTCAGATCAGGCCACTTTTCCTGCAGCAGCAGTGAACTCGGAGGGAGCAGGTCGGGTCTCCACAGTCAAGGGCCTTCATGCCACGCAGCATGCTGTTTCAACAGGGCCAGGTCAGCCTTGTTCACCATTGGATCCGTATGCCAACCAAAATACTAATCTTGGTGGTTATGACACATCCCAGTATGAGCATGCACAGCAGGCGCAGGATTATGGGATCAGTGGCTATGTGCAGTACAGCCAGTCTGGTTACCAAGGACAGGGCAGCAGCGCAATGGGTTTGCAGCAGATGGGGGCACCAACAACATCTCCATATGTGCAGACATCGCAGGGCTGTGAAGCACAGCCTACAAATGCCTATTTCACCTCAACAATGGATATGAGCCACCCTCAGGTATCTCAAGGCTACCAGGCGCAGTCTACAAATGTCTATGGTGCCTCTGCCATGGATACGAACCAGTCACAAACATCTCAGAGTTATCAGGTGGAGACCACAAATGCAAATGGTGCCCTCACTACAAGTGTCAGCCTACCGCAGGTGTCTCAAGGCTACCAAGCCCAATCTACAAACATTCACGGCGCCCCTGCCACAGGTGCCAGCCAGCCATCTCTATTCGTTCCCACACTGGCAACCAGCACATCAGCTCAGGCAGGTGCCACTGCAGCTATGGAGGTTGCTCATGAATGGCGTCACACATCGTCTGCAGGACCTTATGGGGCACAGGAGCAGTTTGCACCTGTGGGTGGCTACCCATCAGGGTTGGACAGTGCGAGCAGAGCTATGGGGGCCCATGGGATGGCCACAAGGGACTGGTATGGACGGCAGGGTGGGGAGGGAGGCCTAGGGGCTGGTGGGCAGTGGCAAAAAGATGGTGGTCTGGGAGTCAGCTCGCCCTCTCAGGGTGCTCAACAGGCTGGCATTCCAGGACTGATGGTCCCGGGCATGCCTCCAAATCAGATTGAGGCCTATGCTGCTGATGGGGCCAGCTATTTTGAGGGAATGGCTCAGGTACACGTTGAGACTTCGGATAATAGTGTGCAGCTGCATGCCCATGTTATTCGAAATGCCTGCGTGCCATTGTGCCGGAGCTGTTTCTATATGTCTGCTGAGCACATGAATGTGTGGTAAGCAAAACAGACTTGCTAGTTTTCATTCAATTCCTTATCAACTGCATATTGTGCACCCTGACAGATGGCATGCATTCATCCAGAGTAAGGTTATATGTTTGCCAAGAGTTGTGAAGTGCACCGGTGGCCACATGCCCCATTCAGCCTCCCGATGTGACCATCACAATAGGCTTTCACAGAGCGCTGCAATAGAGCTGCAATGTGTGGGTGTGTTGTACTGTTCCAAACGTGGGAAATTCGATGCCATTTATGTGAAACCGAAGTTTGAGGCTGTTGAAGAACCATGTGAAGGCACAATGAAATTTGTTGCATCGTGAAAAAATATCAGTTCATTCACTATTCTGTTCCACCTGTGCTGTGTGAAAAGAGCACATCGGACATGGCCTATCAGAGCAATGCCTTGGCTGGAAACATCCAAGGGTCTTTGAGCGGAACTGCCACCCCTGATTGGCCAAGGTGGAAAGATGGTCGGCCACCTTGCCCATTGATATGCTTTGGATATGGTGGGCGAGTTGCAATGATGACCCCAAAGGTGAGTATTGTCAGCGATATGTTTTCTGGACAGCACTTGTTTCTTGTAACACTAAAAAAAACACAGTGAACCAGGCAGTTGTGTCCTGTTTCAACAAAAGGCACGCAACTGTTCTGTCTGCTTCTCGTTCATCTCCAACACCCCTGGCCGAGTCGCTTTTGGGAGTAGCAGGAGAGTTTGCCTTGGCCGAAAGACAAAAAGTGTGTTGTTACATGTTTTTCTGCTATGCACCAACAGCCTGCCTGCTGTTGCATGGCATCCCTGTTGGCCCAGAGACTCCCACTCCCTTTCGCACAGCATGGCATAGAGCCAAAGAATCTTGCTCAGGTGCGCCTGTGAAAATTATGAAATGCGTGAATCGTTGCTGACTTCCACCTTCATAACTTGCTTGCCTCTTTTGCTGGGAGCTTTGACCCAAATCACATTTGTGCACACTCAGGCCATCACGACGGGGGCCCAGCCCACATACGCAGGTGCCATCGAGCTACACTCCCTCAGTCACATCCCCAGCCTCCTGAGTGACAGGCAGCGAGTCGCTGGCTTCGCCGTGCCTGCAGGACAGGTCGATCCTGACCGAGCGGCGGTGGAGCGCTTTCCCAGCGCCCTCTCCCCAGGTGCCGGAAAGGATAGACTAGCCAGGTTTGTGTCAGACCGGATGGACTTGTGCATGGAGGAGGAGCCCCACTGCAAGAGGCCTGACCTGCTGAGGACGATTTGGGGCGTGCTCAGGGTGCTTGTGAAGAACCAGGTGCGAAGACCCACACTGATTGTTCGTTGGATGGGACAGCGCCATGTCACTTACCAGGGAAGGGCTGAATGTACGTTTCTGTTTCCCTTGTGATTGTCCTGTTCATGACAACACCATGTGTTTTCCTCGATTCCAAATTATTGCAACACTGTACTGTAACTAAGAGACTGGGCACCAATCTTGCTGTTGCACAAGAAGTGTTCTCTTAATGGGATGTTATTCCAGGTGAGTCACAGCTGACTTAAGAGACGGAAAGTTGCTCACCAGTGTGATGGAGGGTAGATGCTGCTGTGGTTGCCAGTACAGCCCATGTGAGAAGTGGTGCTGTGGTTGCATGTCCGTTTTGATAGTGCTTACACACACACAACAGGGTGTGGTGCCCCCTGTCAAAACCGATGCGATGAACGGTGGCCAGATTGGATGTAATTTTGTTGTGGAGCATGTAAGCAGTGAGCCAAGGTCATCCTTAAGATTGGATCAAGTACAAGTGCACTCTGCTCAACTACCCAAAGAAAAGCTCTGCAGAAACCCATACCCTAGGGAATGGGTCCAACACGTTCAAGTAGGTTCTTTTTAAGACGTTTTGGATGTGTTATTCGACGCTGCAGAAAAAGTGCACGCCCAGGTTACAAAGCAACACACAAATCGCCAGTCCTTGTCTGGGTCACACTCTGTTTTGGTCCATCCTTGCACATTGACGACTAGTCTTTTGTCGTTCGGCGGAGGATTGAGAAGAATGCAGTCAGACTTGGCTTATAACCTGCTCACCAAGGGGACAGTTGGGGCAGATCTATCTGTCGTTGGTGACCCAGAGCTGGCTACGCACAGTTGCACATCCCTCAGCGTTTTTGCCGACACCTTGACAATTTTCAGCTTACAGCAAGACTCGACAGAAGCTGACGATCGCCAGAACCACTGCTGCAGGGAACCCTGATCTCAGAGCCAACTGCTAAGAGCAGCAGCGACCCCGAAAAGGAATTGGTGGAGTTATTGGTCCCGGAGGCAGAGAAGGGCTCCTGGGTGGGTGGCATGGGGTCTAGTGGGCTGTTGTTGCCAGGTCCTGATGACTATCGCCTGCAGGCAGTTGCGGCCGAAGTGCAGCAGCTGCTGGTCACTGGGAAGAGGAGGCAAGCGCTGCGGTGAGCTGATGTTGCACTCTGCTTTGCTGTGGAATGTGGGCTTTGCTAATATTTCCATTGATAGTTTGGTTTTATTCCTTCACTACGTCACTGATGGGTATCTGCTAATCCGACTCGGCTTCCCAAATACCCGCCTTTGTTGCTGTGAGGATTATGTTGATGTTGCTAAAGTGTTTTTGGTGCAGCATCTTGACCTGTTTCTCGCTGTTGTACCCTGGTGTATCTGTTCTCCCAGGTCAGCATTGCGTTGTTGCGAGGGATGGCCTGTCAGCTCTACACAAGCAACTGCTTTGAGTCTGCAGTTGAATGGCTGTGAGAGAACTGCTCTATTTTTGATTGGCTGCAGAATGCGTGCCACCATTATTGTCCATTGTGCCACATGTGTCGCATGCTGGGATGTGTGCCCCTCCTTGTGCAATCTGCATGAGAAACTGGGGTATTTTGGGTGTGACGCCTCCCCCCGCCACGCAGATTCCCCTAAACCCCAAACCTGTGGAGTCACACCCGGCACCATCGTGCACGTGGAATCACGTGACCCAAGATACTTGTGGGGTAGATTGGCAGTTTTACTTCCGCTTTTCATCTTTCACATGCGTCAGCACCAACATCCGCTGCATGGCTTGCACCACAGCAGTACTCCGGAAGGGCTTGTGAAGGAAGGCATCCAGTTGTTGCTATCCCTGTTGGGTCCATGCTACACTCATGTAGTCACCATCTCACAATGTCATTGTCCAAGATGTCACGGTTTTCAAGACTTAATGCCACTAAATGCGGTATTACAGAACACTAATGTTGCTCTGAGTTTGTGCTCATTGAGAACCCATTTTCCATTATACATATCAGCAGACAGGTGCAGTGTTACGTGACAAACCGTCACCACCAGGTGCCTCAGTCACCCAACAGCGATTGTGCTGCTTGAAACAATATGTTGATAGCATTTGGGAATCGCTGGCGATCTAATTTGAGGCTTGTTACTTGCAGGGTTGCCACAGAGGGGCACTTGTGGTCTGTTGCAGTCGTGCTGGCACATGGAATCGGCCCTGGAGCCGTCTCCGAGACAGTAACGGCTATGGCAACATCCTCTCTGCATGCAGGAAGTCCGCTGCGAACGCTGATGCTCATGATGGGTGGCAGTCCTGATGCTCTGGAACATGCAGGCCCTAACAAAGGTGTGCGAATGAAGTGGAATGAATATGAAGTTCATATTCAGTTGAAGGTCATTTGAAATCCATGCTATGAACCACTCAGTATTATATGATATCAGCAACTTGATTGAGAATGAGAATCGACGACATAACAGTGCGATCCCAATCAGTCACTGAGGCTTGCTCCCCCGGTTGGCTAGGAGTAATTTCAGGCAAAAATCCCTGTCATGAACTTCGATGTGATTTAGTTTTAGTTCATGCTGCCTGTGGGAAATGGCAGCACTGGCGATGGAAATCTTTGGAAGCACTGGAATACTTTAAAGCGTCCATCTGATTTCCCGTCTTTCCAATGAACCAAGGCCAAAGCAGCACTGTGGCTCTCTCTGCAGGCAAAGCTGTGGTCAACAGCTCTGCATCACAGGAGGCCTCGCAAGTGGGCTTGATGGGCGTTGGTGCGCCTCCAGGCCTGGCCACGTTCACCCCATCCAGCGACCCGTTCCTGGGCGATTGGCGCAGCAACTTGCTGGTTCTGGCCACCAACAAGGTGAAGGGCAGCAGAGAGGCCATCGCCAAGCTGGGTGACAGGCTGTGGGATGAGTGGCGCGAGGTGAGTCTGGGCCCATTGTGTCTGCAGTGTTGCAAGCAATGCTTTAGCTTGTTGCTGCTGGCAGGGTCAAGCAACAGTTAAGTAAGACATTCAGATTGAGCCCAGGATGCGAGTTTGGGGTTGCATGCAGTGTGGTTGTGATATTAAGGGGGAAGCACAAAATGCTCAACAACAGTTGCCAGAAGAAGCTGGGTAAGATGCCGATCTTTAAGCTGTGGGGCTGATGTGAACAACGTGGTGTGCTGTTCTGCTGCTGACAGCCAGGTTAGCCAACAATCTTCGCACGCCACTCTGTGTTCATGTTTGTGCAGTTGTGGTCACATATGCCAATACGTTGGATAAGCATGGCCATTACTGCGCTTGTGCTTTCCTTGGTTTCTGTACATGCACATATTGCTTGCTTGCCCTAAGCAGCTTGTGCATGGAACAAGCCCAGCATCCCCTTCTAAGCTGCAGGTGCAGTAGTTTGTGATATGTTTTTGACAAAGCTCTGTCAGGCGTTGGTGCATTGCATTGAGGGCATCGGTGTGATGTGTATGTATCTGCAGCAGATTGTGCTTTCACTCCTCAAGGATATTTGAGTATTAATCTCTTTGCTCGAAATTGTGAGCTTGGGGCCCAGTTGTGACATGGTGTTGGAAACTGACAGATGATGACCACTGATTCACGGCCATGACACAATGGTTCTGGTTGGAAATTAGTGTGCAGAATGAGCTGTGCCAACAGATGGCAGTGCAAGCCAGGCACTGGGCTTTGGAATCAACTGGCAGTCTCTAGCTGGTGTCTGCTGGCTTGGAATACTGCTAAGGACGGAACTGCCAAACAGCTGCTCAAATGCATTCACAAGCCCGCTGACACCCTGACCCATGATTGCAGGTCGAGTCTGCACAGCTGTGCTACTTGGTGGCTGGCATCTTGCCCCAACCACTGGATGCCGCCTCTGGCTGTCGTCTCACACTTGTTGGGGCGGACCACCGGTCAGACCCCAGGCTGTATGCGAGTGTGGAGGCTATCCAACGCACAGAGGTGTATGAATGGGCCTTTTCTGTTGCACACCCCCACCACCGTATGGTCGACTTCCAGCCATACAAGCTGGTGTATGCAAGTGAGTGCAGGCTTCCTGGGTGGGCGACTTTGCATCAAGTCATGGAGTGATTTGTCCCTGATAGTTGATGCACTTGTCTCTGAATGGGATTGATGGCGCAACACCATTCAGCCCATATGAATTCAGCTCGAAAGATGGTGTTTGTGTGGTGCGGAGGTTTGTTGTCATCCTGCCCTGTTGGTGCTGTGTGCAGAGCTGTAGCTGCAGGCGTGACAGTGAGGCTTGGCTGATTCATGGTTGTGGCGATTCAGACTGTATGTATTCCCTGGAATTAGGTATTTGTTCTACTTTGTTATTGGTTGTCTAATTGTTTTATCCACAATGTGAAGAACTGCCCTCACACCTTATGAGCTGTGACGGGCATAAATTCACACACAGCATCTATCCCGAATGTCGTAATGTCCCCTTGTCTGTTGAAACCAGGAAAAGGGGAGAAAGCCTAGTCAGACTGTTCAGTGTCGATTTGTGTAGCTGAGAATCATCTTTTTGTTCCGGCTTACTGTACCTTGACACTGACATGCATCAGGCTTTTGCAGCTTCAACATGGGCTATTGCTCGTGTGCAGGGTGCACCAGCCCACATCATACATGGATGCACCTGATGCCTATCCTCTGATATTCCATTGCATCACATTTGTCTATGCAAGTGTGAAGGGGCCAGTATGTGTTTATCTGAAGTTCCTGGTGCTTTGAATGTATCTATGAAAAGACACTCTTGCTAGCAGCTGCGTGGCCAATAGAGCATGGCTTCCAACCTCCATTGACTGTTGATACATGCCACAGTGCAACAGAGAAGTGGATGGCACACAGAGCGTGCTACCCTAGAATTCTTGTGTGTTTATTTGCAGTGATGTTGGCTGAGTATGGAAAGGTGGCAGAGGCGATGAGCTACTGCGACTCTGTGCTGGAATGCCTCCGGTCCTTGGGGAAGCTGCCACAGAGCATGATGGTGTGCCATTCTGTGGCAAGGGAGCTGCGGGATAGGCTGGAGAAGCATGCCCAGGTACGGGAACAACTGAATGCATCCTCACAAACACCATGGGAGAAACCTGTGGTTCTGTTGCACGCCTGTGCATCAAAACAACCTAATCCTAGGAGTGCTTCTACAACACACGTTCACACCCCAACTTACAGCATCTTGGTGCCCTTATACAGGCCCGTGCAAACAACAAATAGCTGCCTTGCTGTGCATATTACGCTTGCAAGAGTAGAATGAATGAGGTGCAGCTTTATGTGGAGGGGGGGGGGGGGCTCTTGTTGCAGGAGTTGATCAGTGTGGCATGCTTTCCCTGCAGCATTCGAAGACTGGTGGATCATGCCCCATAGCATGGAATAAGAGCAAAACTAGGAACTGAGTATGAAATGCACTCCTTCTTGCAAGAAGTTGTCAAACATCAGTTATGGACATGTGTGTAGTAGAAGCCAACAACTTGCACACATGAAGCCCATTGGGCATGCAATATTGCAACAATTTGGGTGTATAGTGAAACACAAATGGCTCATGTGTGTGTATCATTGTTTGCGTTCTCAATTTCTAAGAGCACATTCCCCCTACGAAATTTCGCCAGTTCACACATTCTGACAACGTACTGCGATTCGCTCAGCGACTTCGAATTTGCTGGCAATTACGATGTTGAGTATTGCAGAACAGCTGGTTGGCGTCTGGATTCCTGTACAGTTTCCTTGTCTGCTTGCCAGTTTATCTCTGTTTATCCCACACCACCTTGTCACAATCGCACTCTGTGTGTCTTATCTGCACAGGCATTCAATATCTCTGTGTACAAGGGTGGGTCACTGTTCTCAAGCATAGGGCGCGCCCTGGACAAAGGGATACACAAGCTCATTGGCCTTGGTGACTCCAATGACCAGACCTCACATGAGGTAGGGGGACCCCCATGTGGTTGTGAGAATGCGCTACACACCACCATGGATATGGTGGCACAACAGTTTTGCTGAATGCTTAAAAGTGGACAATGCCTTTTAGGTATGCATGATGTTGGCACGGTACTTCACAGTACGGGCAGGGGCAGATTTCCCCGTGTGCCAAGCTGCTTGAGAATGTATCAAACATTGTGGACACAAACAGGTGCAATTTGAAATAAAGTGCAAGAGAGAGATGCTGTCATTTGCATAGCACCCTGTTGACAGTTCCCACTGTTTGGTGCAAAGACTTGGCAACGATAGGCTCCAAGAAGGCCATGACATGGTACACCTGTAAAAATACAGGCAGCTGCCTGCTGCACTGCAGTGCAGTGCATAGTGCTGAACCAAACTCGACTGCACTGCACTGTGTACAGTGTAGTGTACTGCACTGTGTACAGTGTAGTGTACTGCACTGTGTACAGTGTAGTGTACTGCACTTTAGTGTAGTGTACTGCACTGCCCTGTACTATGTTGAAAGCAACCATTGAAAGCAACCTCCCCAAAGCCCTACCATGACACTCCCAGGCTGGGAGTGTTGCTGGGAGCCCCAGCATCCATTTCCTTTGCTGCACGAGACTCCTTGCACATTGTCTGTCTCCAAAACATGATGTCACATAACAGTTCAGAAACAAAATGCTTGCACGTTGTCATTCATGCCATCCATGATATGTGCATCGTTGCTGACGCGACATGCCATTGCTGCGGACTGATGCAGGGCGTGTCAAAGACCTCCAGCCTCTCAGGCGATGCAGGCCGGGCGCCCAGCGAGAGTGCTGCCTTCCGGCGCGCCCCAAGCCACGCGAGCCTGGAGGGCAGCCGCAGCGCACAGGAAGGATGGTTCTCCCGTGCCCGGGGACCCGCCAGTGTGCCCCTGCCCAACAACGGCGCCGCTGCCTATGGGCCCGTAGCCCCGGGCACACCCCCGCCGCCCGACAGGTCCAGCAGCACGAAAAATCGGCAGGGTGGGGGAAGCAGGGAGGATGGTGGCCAGGCATCGTCCACAGGGCGTCAGGCCAAGGGGAATGACAAGGGATGGTTCGGCATGGTGACCAACATGTGGGGCAGGCCGGCCGGAAAGGCAGCTCAGGTGGGGGCCCTTCTTGACCGCATGGTAGTTGGAGATTTCGAGCCCATTGATCTGGGTTCAGATAGAGGCTGCTGTGGCCTTCTTTGGCTTGCCTGCTTCTTTTTCGATTGGTTATGTTCACATTGTTCCCTTTCTGGTTTGCTCTTTCTCCCTTTTTCATTTTTGCTTTTACCTGAAAATGCAGCATTGCTTCATGTGTTTTGCATTGGTTGCTGGTTGGTACAGTTCCAGAATAAGACTAGGTGTAAGCAAGATCGAGCATCGAGAGACACCTGCAGTCGCCAACAGCTTGCGCGACTGCAGCCCACTGTTTCATGGATATGTGGTTAGGCTCATGGCCTTGTTGTGTATTGTGTTATCTATCATCTTGTCATATTATGTATGATAATTGCAGTATTGTATATATTTCTTCATGTACATCAACACCATTTAGTATTTTCATATTGTCTGTTGTCCAGATGATTGGTGCTTTGCTGTATTCGACCTGTATTGTTGCTTGCATTTATAATTGCAGAGATATGGTTACATTATCAGACAGATTGCAGATATACTGTAGATGCTTACTTCTCATTTACTGGGTGTTCCCAGCATGAACTTTCAGCTCAACTATGCTCCCTAACAGGACAGGTAGTGGTTATTGGCAGTGCTCACCATCAGCACTACCCACATCCTGCTTGATCTGAGAACGAGCAAGCGCTTTTTTTGTATCCATGACATATTACTCCTGTGAGTGCTACAACTACACAATGATACAAGTATTTACATTATGCCCTTTTTGGTCCATTACAAACATATTGAAGAATGACGCACTCGTCTTGGCATGTGGCTTTGCGGAACTCGGATAACGAGACCGATGCGCTTCCATCTGAGGTCTCACCTTGGCCTGTGCCCCTCCCCAGACTGCTGCCCCTGCAGACGAAGGCAAATTCTACTACGACAAGGAGAACAAGCGGTGGGTGCTGGAGGGCGAGGAGGCTGCCACCCCCCAAAGCAGTGTTGCGCCCCCGCCCACCAGCCTCAACTGGGGCACCCCCCCTCAGCCTGGGACCCAGAGCCCAAGCCCGCATCCCAGTGCCGGGCTGCCATCTGCAGGCCGGGCTCATGCCCGGGATCGGTCCCTTATGTCACGGTACGTGGACACATTCGGGTCCAGCGCCTCTGGCCCGACAGCGCCCTCGCCCATGCTGACGCCACCCATGGCCAAACTGCCGAAGACACCAAACTTGCTTTTGCCGGGGGGAGGCTCTGCCAGCATGCCTAACCTGGTGGGGATGCAGGCCCAGAGCCAGACATCAGGGGCCAGTCAGGTTGTTGCTACAAATGAAAAGGGGGTTAAGAGGGGTTTGCTGAGTCCAGGCCAGGGCAGCAACGGTCTGGGCAGCAACGGCCTTGGGGGGGAGGGCCAGGGCCACGCACAGGCGCCCTGCACTTACTCATCCCTGATCGAAAATGCGGGGAACGTCGGTGCCAAGAGGAATGGGCCCTGCAGTCAGGGCAGTGGCGTGGGCATGGATACTGGACTCGATCTGTTGGTCAACCAGTCGCCGCCTGTCAGGTGGTCGTGCGCTGGGGAGCGCGCGGGCCCTGGCACTGCACCTGGCCCATTGGCGAGTGAGGAGTTCAGGGAAATAGAGCTGTAGACAGGGGAGGGAGCCAACGATGGCGAAGAGTAACTGTACAGTTGCTGAGAGACGAGAAGGGGTTGCCGCAGACGGCCACCGCACGTGGCTGATGGTTGCACAACAGGTTGATTTTGAAGCATGGATGGATTGCACTCTGTGTGCGAAATGTGCCTTGCAGTAACCTAGCTTTGCGTCATTCTGGTGCATCTGAATCTGCAGGTACTTCCAAATGGAGTGAATTTCCCAGAACGCCCACCATCAACCACCCATTCCACCTCTACCCAAACCCACCAACATTGGACACCATTTGTGTCAGCAGGTATCTGAGGTGGGTTCAGTGTGCCAAGTGTGCCACTAGATTGGAGCCCCTTCAAGTTGCTACGATGAAAGAGGCCCCACGGACATAAATAGAACCTCCAAGAAATTTTTGCTTGGTAATCCCAAGCGAGAGCTTGTTGTCTTTACCAAATACCTGCAGTTGTGGAGAACTTTCCTGGATGCTCCCATCTTTTGCTCTGCCCTCCTGTTCTTTTCTCTAGTATTCAGCTGTGGGTTTGGCATCATCGACACTGTGCTAGCAGCACACCCATCGTGTTGAAGAGTGTGGGCGGAGTATTCGACACAAGAAGAAAGTCCTCATTGCTTTCATGTGTCAAACTTAGCAAGTGGGTGGCCTCGCGCCCTTTGGGTGATGTCAGGCACTTTTCTCAGCCACCAGCACTTGTTCTTATAGTGCGTTGTGCCGAATGAAAACTTCCGGTCAAGGTGGAGCAGCCCAAGAATGCTTATGATGTATTGCTTGTGTGCCTCTGCTGTTGCTGCCCCTTGATACTGAGCTGAAGCGGTGTTCCTTACATTCTGCTTGGAGCTGCGCTCGAGTCATGCAGTGCACTTCTGACTCAACGGAATGGAACAAAAAGAGCAAATTTTACGGAAAGCTGCACCAGGCATGTCAGAATCTGTTGCCCCACATCGATCCAAGAAGGACACCAAAGGTGCAAGGGAGAGACCAGCCCCTTCGCTCAACACAGGATGAAGCGGATGGCAGGAGTGTGCTGGACGGGCTGTTGGACGGGAGGAAACCGCTGTTTTTGTGCATTCCTGTCGCTGCAGTTTTCGAGTTGCTGCATGATGACCAGCTTCAATGACTCCCAATTTTCGACTGCGCTCTCGCTTTCTTGTTGCGGCCGCCTCTGTGGCACACGGCCGTCCCACGCAGCGCAGCCAGCAGTGCATGACGCACCCAAACGTCACCAACCACGTGCAGCGAGAGCGCAGTACGTTGCACGCAGCCACCCACCGAAAAGCCCAAGTGGGGGGACGACCCGCCGCCAATGTGTCCAACTGACAAAGTCCCTCTAACCCTGAACAATACAACACCCGCCCCCAAAAAGCTGGCCACGTTTTTAATGCGGGCAAAAACGCGGCCACCAGCCACAGCGCCACCCGCCGCTGCGTGGGGCACCGCCCGCTCCCACCCGCGTGCGTTTCGGCGCCGGCCGGCCGTGGGCCGACCAGCGGCCGCCCGTGGGCCCCGCGGGCCCGGCCCGGCAGCCATGGCGGACGCCCGGGAGCTGTTCTCGGCGACCCTGGACTACGAGCGCCTGGGCGACCACGTCGAAGAGGTGGGACCGGAAGCCATGCGGCTTGGTGGGGGAAGGCCGGGACCGCCGGCCACTCAGCCCTGCTCCTGGCGCGGTGCTTGTGTTTGTTCTGCGTTATGTGCTTGTTCGTTTTGTGTGTTGAGGTTTAGGGGGAGACGGGTGCCTGTGGCGATCTGTCGTGACGGCCGTTTGGAAGGGGCGATCTTGGCGGGGGGGAATGCGGGAAGGGGGCGACCGGCGGAGATCGACGCGGGGTGGGGGTGGGGGCCGGGGGGAAGTGTGTGCTGGCGCCGGCGTCGCGGAGGGGCTCGATTCGCCCAGGCGGGCGGACGACGAGGGCTGGGGATGACAGAAACCGCCGCTGAGTCCGTCGGGCGGTCCAGGGTTTGCCGCATCTCGGGTGGGGGCGGCGAACCGGGCCGCGACTTTCGCGGCAGCGATGCAGGAGGCTGCGGCGGATGGGGCAGCCCGAATTTGCGGCATTGCTCCGCGCGGAGGAAGCAAATTGGGTGCGGGGCGCCCGCGCGGCCCGCAGGGGCTGTGGCCGAATCCTTGGTAGTTACATTTGTCAAGAGACAAGGCGAAGGCCCTTGCGCCATAAACTGGCGATGTCGGGCAATGGCCCCAGGCGCATGGTTTTGTTCGAACCCGCAGTGTTTGCTCACGAGCACAGGCGGTCAGGCCAAGGGGGCAGCCAGCACAGGCCCTCGGGATCGATTTTGGATCGCTGCGGCCGCCGTCTGTTGATTTTTGCGCTGTTTCGGCGCCCCCCCGCGAGCAGCTGCGCTGACGTCCCCGCCGCCCGCCCCGCCCGCCGCAGGTCTGCTTCAAGGCGCCGGTGTGCATCACGCACGTGCGCGTGGGCAACGCGCGCATTGGGGGCCCCGGCCAGGCGCTGCTGCGGATGTATGCCCGCGATCTGAACGGTCTGTCGGGATCGAGGTTCGTGGCGCTGTGCGGCGGGACGGTCACGTGTCCTGAGGACGGCGTCGTGACGATCGAGACAGAGGTGAGGTTGCCCCATCCATCGTTGTGCATCCATCTGGTGTTGGTGGTGTGCCCCACCTGCAATCGAAAGCGTCAGGTCGCCTTTCAGCCAAAACTATCCCACACAGTGTACCATGGTGAACTGGGCCCATTGTAGCGTTTGTTGCCTTTCGCTGCAGTCCGAATGCATCCTGGTGTTTGCTTGCCGTTGTGTTTGTTTCGGCGTCAGGGTCTGGTCATCGAACTGGTATGGTAGCCTGCAGTTGGCGACGCGCGTCTCTGTGACCCCCTAGCAACACTGAGACTGCAAGGGCTGAACGGAAGTCCCGTGTTTTCTTTCCAAAGCTTCCCTCCCTTCCACCTGAGTTGTTGCTGCCTTTGGGCTTTCCTGGCACAGGCCATCACGACAGACCACGTGGCGTTGCGTGGGCGGTACGAATCGCTCCAGCTTGCCTTCTTGGGGCGCTGTCACCGCCAGGTCAAGGAAGAGGTACACAGATCTCCATGAGACGACCTTGTTTGCATCTTCTCCTCCCTGCCCCCAAAATGTCCTCTGGCATCCGGTTAGCACTGAAGAATAGTGCTTTAAACAGTCAGTACCCGCCAGGCTCAAGCTGCTGAGAAAGGACAGAAGTCTCTGCAAACACTGGAGAAATTTTGTATCGCCTAGGTCTCCATTGCCTCATATGTGAAAACAAGGCCCGTGCCAGTCTGCACTGCAGCATATGAGTAGCTGTTGTGAGTGGCACAACTGCTTACGACATATACAACAAGCATGCAATGGAATGGTGCAGCTGTTGCAAGTGGTACAGCTGTGCAACATACTGCCATTGCGACAGAGTGTGCGTGCATGTGCCTGTTGCAACCAGAATGGCTGTGGAACACCAGTATCACATCCCTATCAATTGCTGCACAGCTTGCGATGCGCATTTGGCAAGTTTGCAGCCTTGGATGTCAGGACCTCCACTTTGGGTGCTATGCAGATTTCAGGCAACGCTGGCATGAAGGCACTTCCCATGTCAACGCTCCCCTTCCCCTCAGAACAGTCCGCTTCGCACCCCAGGCCCACCACAGACTGGGCCGGACTGGCACTGCCACACTTGGAGCAGTTCTCAGACAGCGTCGCAAACTCCATCAACATACTTGATCGCTTCAGGGGAACCGCGTTGCAGCACAAAGGACCTCCTGAGGAGAGCACACTACCGGAGGACGTCGTGAGGGCGATGTTTTCATCAGCAGACATTCTGTGTGGCTTGCTTGGGCTGGGTCCAGTTGTGAGGACCTCAAGATTGCAGGATGGTGCGTGCATGAATTTGAAGATTGTAGCAGCTGCTGAAAATGGTGCCATTATTGTGGTTTTCACATCCTCATTCAATATATCTTCACTTCCCTATTCTCATTTTGGAGTGTTCAGGTTTGTGGTTTGTGCAGTTCCTCAACAATTCTCATAAAGATTCTATCAGCAAAGCTGCTTTAGAGAAAATGAAAGAAGCAGCTATGGGGGACGTCAGTCGACTGGCCAAAAGTATCAAGTCATGAAGGTTCGATTGCACAATGTGTGACATAGTTTGTTCAATCAATATCTGTCTTCATGGCTGAACCACCGAAGCAATGGCAGCTTTGTGCCTGTTGCTGTATGCTGAAGTGTGCTTCCATCGTACATGTTGTCAACTGACAAAGCACTGCCGCTGTCCCCTTGGAATGGTGTTGAGTGCTGCCCTTCTCTGCAAGTTCTTGTGTTCTGTCTGTATGCGCCTACATTGATCGGAACTCATTGGTGTGCAGAGCCCAGTGCAGGAGACTGTGCAGTGAGCAACACAACTCTGGACACTGGCAGTGACCTGGCTTCAAGGGCCGCAGACTTGGCTGTGCTGTGGTGTGAGATATTGGCTCGCAACGATGACTTTCCACCCAGGAGCCAGCCCAACAGGGGAATGGTTGGGCTTGCTCTGGCAGTTGTAGTTTGCTCCTGCCGCCCTGCAGCTGTGCGCTTTGTTGCAAAGCAGGGCATTGACATACTCACAGGTTGGTTATACCACTTGCAACAGGTCATGTGGCACCGTTGTGTGGAGGATTTTATGGTCCCCTTTACGCGTTGATTGTCTTGCCAGTGCATCCAGGATGGTGGCAGTTGATTGTTGCCCGCCACCAATGTGCTGAGCCATTCTCTGTGCTGGAGACAGCAGGCACGGCATGCTTAAGTTTCGTGCAGGCAATTGTGGCCAGAATATTCGATGGTTCCGCACAGTAGGACTCCTATGTATGAAACGACTGTTGCTCTCCAGTTAACCTGTTCAGTGCTGGCACTGTTTTATCCTGACCCTGCGACGTTGCCCCAGGCTCGCCTTGGGCTGACAGACCAGACATTATGAATTCTTGAGCACAAGAAGAATCCACCAGGATGATCCCCAAGCTTCCATGTTGCAGAAGCACTCTTCCCTTCTTTGGGACTAGTGCTTTTGGAAAATAATGATGTTTGCTTGCCACTAATAGCACCAGGCATCAACATTCACACTGTGGAACGGATGCTTGAAATTATTCTTGAAAGTTTTACGTGGGGACGGGATGTCTGTTGTGAAACAAATGTTACCCTTGTAACGTCGTTGTTGCTGTGCCTGCATTTATGCAGATGTCTTCCGTACCCGCCGGTGCCCAGCGCTCATCACTCGCTACGTCGTCTGCGCCTGTGAGCTGTTGACCCTCACTTGCCCAGCGCTCGCATGCGACACGATGCTTGGCTGGTGGCAGCCGTCTCAGAGGCGCAGGAGACCACCGAGTCCTCCAGCCCTCCCACCAAATGTGATCCATGTCCCTGGCATAGTGGAGCCTAATGTGAACTTCCGTAAGCGCGATCCACCGGAGGAGGTGACAGGCAGTGTCTGCATGACAGCCGTTTCTGCAAAAGAGAGCGACGTGACCGCAGGTGGGAGTGGGAAACTTTTGGGAGATCTGTCCATGGCATGTGCTGGGCGTTCTGTTCTGCCCACAAGCGGTACGAAGTAGTTATATTTGTAGTGCTTATAGTATGTGTTGTTGTACTTGTTGTGTTGCAGTTTGTTTTGCTATAAGCTACTGCGTGATTTGGTATGTTGCATACGTCCTAACACAAGGGATGTTGGGCTTGTGCCAGGTTGCAAGAAAGTTCATGGTGGTCCAAAATCCCAAATATTGATCATATGAATGTGAATCCTCATAGAACCAATGGTATCAGTTTGTAGCCTTATTTTCAGGCTTAATCAGCAGGGGCGTTTGGTTGACTATGGTTGGACAGTTGCTGTAGCCATCACAGGAGGGGAAAATTATATACAGCTGTGCACAGTATGTTGACGGTGTGCATGATATACTGTGTTTCAGAGGCTGAAGACCGTACCAATGCTGCAGCGGATGAAGCTGTGCCCACTCCCAGGAACATGGACAGCACTCAGGAAGTGACTGTGAACAGCGGCACCCGCTCACATGATTCCCAATCTTCCCTGAAGCAGATTAGGGACGAGGGGCCACACAGCCGAAAACGCATGCACAGCGAAAGCAGAGCTGGAGATGCCAAGAAGAGCAAAGCTGTGGGTGACGAGAAGCGGAAGCATAGGAGGAGTGCCGGTGATCAGGCTGGGGAGGGCGCCACCCACCACAACTGGGACGAAGAGCAACGTGCCGAACAGAGAGACAGGCATGGTAGGGAGAAGAAGAGGAGCCGGCGGGACGGCCCAGTGAGCGAAGCAGAAGCCAGCTGTCCCCGGAGCAGGGATACTTGGGGTGAGGGCACAGACTTCGATGCTGGAGAGAAATGGGACAACGTGCCAGTGCAGCGCAGATCAGAGAGGGAAGATAGCTGCAGGCGACGAGGACGGGGCAATTCTCATGAGAGGGTGAGAAGCAGGGACCCTGAGGGGGATGACGTGCAAGAGTGGGGGCAGGAAGCAGATGATCGGTATGTGCTGGAGAAGGAGTCGAAATCCAGCCGCGGTAGGGAAGATAGGAGTGGTGAGAGGGAAGCGGGCTGGCGCCGAAGCCGGTGGCAAGTCGATGAGCGGAATGGCTACCAGGCCGACAGGCATTGCGATGACTATGACTGGGAAAACGAGAACCCTGGGGAAGGGGAGACAGATAGGGACAAAGACAGGGATGTGGAGAGGGGCCGGGGCCCGGAGCACAGAGGTGACGAGGGCAGACAGACGACAGGTGGAAAGGGCGGGATTGAGAAGCACCGCGAGAAGTCAAAGAAGCGCAAGGATAAGGATCGGTCCTCAGGGAAGGAACGGAAGGAGAAAAAGGAGCGCTCGCGCAAGAGTCGTGACCATGGCACAGGCAAGGAAAGGGAGCACAAGAAAAGCAGGCACAGAGACAAGGACCGGAATAAAGACAAGGGTGAGAAAGAGAGGGCGAAAGGCACGGAGAAGGGTGGGGAGCCGATGGATGCTGAGGCCAAGGCTGAAGCCAAGGATGAATTGGCTGCAGGTGATGGGGTGGACGAGGGCCCAAAGAGTGTGAATGCATCTCAGGTGGAAAACCCGCCTGAGAAGAGGCAGGTGGATGAGGACATGGGCGAGGCCCTGTTGGATCCAGAGCATCACCCAGCCAGTGCTGACAAGAAGGAGAACCTGCAGCCAGATGAGGCTGGCAATGGAGGGTTGGCACAGTGGTCACAGCCGGCAAAGCACACCGACAATGCTGTGGCCGCTGGCGGGGTCAACAAGCCCACTCTACCTGAGCTTGTGGAGGAAACTCAGGAAGTAGGGCATCAGGTTGAGTGCGAAAGGCCTGTCACAAAACGAAGGAAGCTGGAGTCAGGGGTATCAGAGGTGAAGGACCCTGAGGGTGCCACCAACATCGAAGCAAAAGCAGTCATGGACGTGGAAGTGGGAAGGGAAACCGTGCAGGAAGGGAAGGATGTGTTTGACTGCATGGCGCGTGGCTCTGTCATTTATTCCATGCTTGTGGATGCCATGACAGAGCCCAGGGCTGAAGGTGTTGCGGCGTCCAGTCGTAGGTATGAACAGTTTGAACAGGCCAAAGGTGGATGGGCGAAGGGGACAAATCGAACAGGAGACAAACCCTGTAAAGCATGGGTGCTGCCCTTTCGTGGCCCAGCTCTGCTCAGCAAATGTTCTGAGCTCTGTTCTGTGGGCTAGGCCGAGCCAAGAGCCTCAGAGTCAGGTTTCTGACCCTGTGTTTCTTGTCACACAGGTTCGGCTGCTCTGATCAAGCAGAAATTGTTTCTGGAGATATCTGTCTGCTTGCTGTGTACCTGGGTGTTGGAATTGGTGGTTGGTTTGCGCGTCACGCTGCTTCCACTTCACATTTTGTTGCTTTTGTGTTTATTGCAAGTTGAGAATTCACCTTGTAATGCATCGGCCAATGGTTAAACGGTGTTAGCGTGCAGTGAAAGAGACTTCGTCGTGGAAAATGCAGCAGTCAGCTTTTTGTTCTGCTGTGCCATGCCTGGAGAATACCTTTATGTTGTCCATCTGACGGACACCCTGGACTAGACTAGACTGAAACTGTATGATTCCATCCTGATAATTCCCACACTGCTTTGAAGTTGACTAAGCAAGGATTGCTCTTAAAGCAATGTCAGTGGAACTGCACATGTGCACAAAAATGTGACAGGATGTTCTGCACAAATGATTCTATGGCAAGCAGTGTTGAAAGTGTTGTCATGCTTCTTTACAGTGCCTTCTTTTCCCCAAAGTTTCCCTTTGTTGCCTGCGAGGTGCTGGAGCAGGGCTGTTTGCAACCTCCAACAAATGCAGCCAATGCCATCAACATTCCGTGAACACTGTGCCTTCGTGTGTTATGCTCCCACTCGCTGCATGTCCATGTATCGTCTCCTGGGTGGCCAGTTGAATGCTGACTGAGGGCTTCCATGCCTGTTGGCAGGATTGTGCAGCGACTCAATGCATATCAGTCCATGCAGCGCATACACACCACTGTGGAGCGTGCCTGCAGGCATGGCAGTTGGGCCCAGGGGGCTTTTGGTGAGGAGTCATGGGTTCAAGAGGTGGCCTCTGCCCTGCTGGAATTGTCATCGGATCTGGAAGACATGCACCTGCGAGAGAAGCAGGAATGGAGATCCTATAGGATGATGCCACAGGACGAAGGTTGGGTCCGGCAGCAAGAGTCCATGGGAAGACAGCTTAAATCCTTTTTGCTGTGTTTTGTCTGACAAATCTGATGGTTGTCCTTCCACATGCAGGGCGATGTGGAGTGCTGTACACAAGCACAAGCACCAGCTTTCAATACATAAGTTGCTTGGCTGCAGCAGGGAATTCGAAAGAAATATAGTGTGCCAATAAGTTCCTGTAGAGGGCAACCATTCCTGTCATGCATGCAAGAGGGCAGTGGTTATTCATATGACTACAAATGTGCTGAGCAGATTTCTGCAAGCACCACTTTTGTCATGAGTGTAAAGGCTGCTTGCATGACTCTTTTTCTTTGCTGTGCATATGCAGGCAAGCAACTGGGGCCAGTCTTTGAGATCGATACATGTGTGCTGGAGTGCTTTGTAAGCAGACGCCTGCTTCAGGCACTTGCCATGATAATTCATGCTGTGCGCAGTCAGAAGCTGCAGAACCATGAGACATCTGGGACAGGGAATGTGCTGACTGGTCAACTTGCGACCGAGCGGCTGCAGGCTGTCTTGTGTGGTGTGCGATCCGTCCTTGGCAGGTTGCTGCTCTCCACCAGGTGGGCATCATCACAATGTGCACTTGTGCCACCTTGGAGTCTATACATGGCAATCTGGATTCCTTGCCTGTGCATTTCCTGTTGCTCACACATTTGAAGGAAGCCTTGTTTTCCATGTTGCTGGGTGGTGCAGAGTTTATAAAGAAGAATTGAGCAGTTGATTCTGGTCCTGCTGGAAATTTGGCTGACGTCCACACTCCAACACAGCACACTGACCACCAATGACATGAATGCCAACATGGCTACAAGAAAGTGACCCAGCCCCTTGATACCTTGAGCCTTGGACCTTGAATCTTGAGCTCCCTGAACCTGTGCTAAGACCTTCTCTGCTGGGTAGGTGTGCCCTCAGTTTATACCATATCAAACATCATTGTTGGTGGACTGTTTTTTGCTCAGTGTCGGACAGGGTTTGTTTGTCACTGGGAAAGGACGACGAATTCCCTGATTTGGCCTTGGATCGATCGTGTTCCTTTACTAGTTCAGGTTCAAACACTTTTCCTGACGTGTGGCTGCTTAGGAGGGTGCATGCCCCTGCCAGACCATTCTCTTGTTTCTTTTGAGCTAGTACCCAATCTTTTTTTGCTTCCTTTGATGCTTTGCATCGAGAACCAGCATAACACCATCCCTGCAGTTTCAATACCACAATGGGAGTCGACTTAATGTCTATTTTGGGCAGCATGCACAATAAACTATCACATCACCAACAGGGAGTGCCAACCTGATGCTTGGCTGCCCTCCCCTGTTGTCTGCATCTGCATCTGGAAACTGCATCTGGAAAATTACTTGTGCCACATGATATTTGAAGCACTATGCATAACACAGACCCAGTGGCAACATTTGGAATGGAAGAGAATGCAATCGTGCTGCGTACCAGGGGCTTGGGGATGTTGAGGCATCAACAGAAGCATGTCCTGCAGTTGTTGAGTGCCCTGGAGTCTGGCACGGGGCGCGATGGCACTGTGGACGGAGGTCAGGGCCAGTTAAGTGGTGTGCAGGGTGCAGATCTAGAGCTGGCCGAAAGCTTGAGGGGTGCGATGCTGTGTGGCGAAGCAGTTGACGTGGTGTTGCGAGAACCGATGCACTCACAGAAGCTGCCCCAGGCAGTCCAAGCGCTGATTGAGGTGAAAGGAAGTGAACCGTTGACGAGCATGAGCAAGACAATTCGTTCGTTGGTGATGCACAGATTTCTCAATTAATCATCTGCTGTTTATCAAAAACAAGGCCAGTCTGCGTGAGTGATCGGAGTTGCCAAGCAGTAAGGTCTTGTCATTGCTGTTGCTGTTGGTCATATTGCACAGAGGTTTGATTCTAAATAGCATAAGGTGTTCAATGTGTGGTGATAAAGCTCCACCATGTCCCCAAGTTTATTGTCCCACCACCTGAAGGGAGGAATATTGGAGAAGTATGAGAAGCATTGCAGAGATTTGACAATAGGAATAGACACCCACTGAACAGGGCAGGTCTTGACTTGCAGGGCGCACCAGCCGGCACAGCCACACGAGCATGTGCCCTACGGGCCCGCACAGAGAGCCTGGAGCACTGCCTGAAGATGCTGCAGTCGTTTCGACAGCTGCTGCAGTGCACAGGCCTGCCAGATGACTCAGTCACTGGAGCGCCAACTGGTCCAACCACCAATTCAGCCGCTGACCCAGTCGTCACGTACCCCGCAGCCCACAGTGTGCTGTTGCCAGGATGTTTGGCTGTCCCAGATCTCCTGTTGGCGGTGGTGCGGGACGGGCATGCAACCAGCATCGCCTGGCTGCTGCCAAAAGCCAAGGACCTTGCTGAGGAGGTGGAAGTTGGGCTGAAACTTCTTGAGAAGGCTGACTGGGAACACAGGGCCAGCAAGGTGGCCATCCTTGGCGAGCTTTTGGGCAGGCTGCAGGCATGCTCTGTGCTTGCTGAGAAAGGTTCTCTTCTGGTCCTTGAGCAGCTTGATGATCTGCTGCCCAAACTTGCGGCCAGCGCCAAAGGTGGGCCAGCTGCCTGGGTGCAGGCTGCAGGATCTTTGAAGGGGTGCTTGGCTGTGCCGTGCTTGACGACACTGTCCATCAATTCCCAACAGGCTCAAGGGTGGTGGCTGCCATATGGTGTCCTGATGTTTTTGAAGATGTCGATTACAAGTTAATGACTAGAGATCCCCAATCTCCTGCCTGTGTGAATATGATGTTGCTTGCTGTGTTGACCAGATTTATGCATTTATGGTAGTAGCTGTGGTGCATATGTTGGAGCTTGGTGTGACAAGTTGCGCATGAACAGAAGCGTATCTGGGGTGAAGCAGCGCTTTCCTCAACTCTTTTGGTGCACACGTTTCAGTGTTCATCAGGGACATCCTTGAATGTCGTCCACAGTGAGCACAGAACGTGGAAAGTATCAATATGATCAGCATTGCTCAAAATTGTTGCGTGCCTGGCTGGAAAGTATATGTGTGGTCCACAGCCAACAAGTAGTGCCATGCTGGTTCAGTGAAATCCAACATCCTATTGCAAAAGGTGGGTGTAAGTCTGAGTGTTCTGAACTGTGGCCTTGAAACCACTTTGCCACCTGAGAGGGCGCTATTGTTCATGCTCGGGCTGCAGATGGATATTGATATCTATGGATAAGCTGCTTGTTCTCGATAGACTCCAACGGAAACAGGTGTAACAAAAATGCTGAAAATAAGAAGTAAAATTTCCGACAGGCCCTGATTTCTGGTCCTTGTAGGCAAGGAGGACAAGGATGGAAAGAGGAAGAGAAATGGAGATGTTGAAGCACCCCTATGTGCAGCCCTGCTGCGAGACCCTCAGGCGCTTGGCTCTGTTCTCACTGGGCTAGACATCCTTGCTGTCCAGCTTGCCTCTCTTGATTCAGGCCAGTTTGTGACCAGCATGTATGGCGCAGATGCCCTCCAGGTGCGTCATGTTTGTGCGCTCTACCTGTTGTGATCCAGGGAAATGCCTTTATTGGTTTGAATACGTTCTTGATGGAGGGTGCCTGTGGTATGAGCTCCTGTTCCATTCATCAACTAATTGTTGCCATCATGCCATCCAGGCATGTCGTCAGATGCTAATGCGCTATTGGATTTGTTGGTTGCTATTTTCATATTGGAAACAATGTCGAATGTTTCACCATGCAAACTGTTTTTTATCTTGGAGTGATGTTCGCATGCTTCATTTTTAGCTGCATTCATTGCAACAATCTTGATCCATGTATTCATTTTCTACGTTTTTGAAGGCATGTATTCACTCATAGTGGGTTCTCTGGTGTGGTCATCAATTAAGAAATATGTTTTACAACATGGCCTATCACGTAAAAGATGATGTTCAATTCCAGACAGCAAGTATGTGTTGCTGTTTCTCTCATTGGTTGCCCCCACGGAGAGGACCATGTCACACAATTTTAACTTGTGTACCCTATACAATTGTTATTGATATTCGCCCTCAACAGTTTGTGAACTCTTTCTTGCCCTGCAGGTGATGGAGCGGGCTGTGCGGAGCGCCACTGCGGGGCTTCTGGCCACAGCGGGAGACACCCAGTGGACGATGATGGGAGGGGACACGATGGACGACCTGGAGCGGATCAGGCATGGGGCTGGGGCAATGGACCTGGCTCTCAGCGCTGCCCGCTCCTTGCTGTCACTGTGCAAGGCGCTGAGGGACAGATTTGCTGAAGTCTGCAGCACTGGGGTGCTTGAGGCCCTGGTGGAGCTGCATGCAGTTCTGTGCCTGTCCTCGGAGTCGCTGGCTGCGATGCTCGGGAAGGGCCGAGCCTGCTGCAGCGTGTTGCAGGTGAGGATTGGGTTTGGGATACGTTTGAAAATCTAGAAATGGTGCTTTTGAGTTGAGAGAATGTGATGTTCTTGTTGTTTTGCACATTTGACAGAGCACTGTCTAAGTACCTGCTGGGCGATGTCGGTGAGGGTGTGGGCGTGCTGTGTGGAGTTGGATTGTGGGCATCGGAACACGCGAACTCAAATTCTTGATTTATATGGACACTGATAGTGAATTGTCAGTGTGGGGTTTCGCATCAGCTTTGCAGATATGTTCAAATTAGCGATGTGCTGTGGTGCTTCTGTCCTGTGTCTATCATTGCTGTGTATTTTTGTGGCGACCTGTTGTGGCCATTTTGCCAATGTGTGAACAGCGGGTGGTGCACTTGAATTCGGGCGATGAACACTGCGTTGTCGTGGATGGTTGTATAGGCATAGATCCGCAGTGATTACCATATAAAAATGTTATATACTGTCGCCTTGGCACTTATCAAGGGTGTTGAGCGAATTTGGCGATGTCCCTATCTGCAGCCTGTCCGCTCTAAGTGTATCTGTTCGCAATCGCCAGAGCCATGTACTTGAACTGAAACTGAACTGCGGCTGGAACTGTCAAGGCATGTGGCAGCAAAGATTTCAAAACAGGTGTATCTGTGAATCTTGAATGGTGCTGTGTCTCCTTGCAGACTGCTGACCAAAGCAGTCCATTGATCTGAACTTAGTTATGCCATGTGCCATGACCAATGGGTCGTTTCCGCATTGCTGCAATAGGCACATTCATTCGTTGCTTGTGCAGGCACGGCAGTTGGTGGTGTGCATAATGAGCTGCTGGATCGAGATGGAGTGGGTCCCCGACCTCATTCCCACCTTATTTGGCATGAACTCCTTCTCCACTGAGGCACTGCCCACGGCCCTCCTCGACCCCAGTCGTGTCTTCTGCTGCACATGCCTCCTTGGGGACATATTTCCAAAAGAGTGGCCCCCTGCGATGGCTGGGCAGGGTTCCACAGGCCGCATGCCCCCACCATCAAACATGAAGATGCGCCCTGTGGTGGCCAGGTTGGTTGCAAGCCCTGTTTGATTGTGACACCATCTTGGCTGCGTTGGGAGCAAGACATAGATCTTAGTGCTTTGGCCTTCAGCCAATCTTGACAGTAACAGTGGTGGCATCTTTGGTAAGATGCATGCGATGCCAACAGTCATTTCACTTCTGTTTGTATTGTCACCAACAACTCCATGTTTCGCTATCAATATGCAGGGAAATTAGGCGTTGCTAAGATTGCACATTTGCGAATATGCTGGCCATGATGGTTGCAGATGCAAAAGTTCTGAAATCCGTTTTGTAGTTCATTTTCATTTTGTATTCCATTTGTGGGTGTAACGAGGCACTGCAGTATTCTTTTGGTAGATTGTGTGGCTGCCCATGTCAGGGAGTTCGAGTTCAGGAGCGGCACATACCAGCCAGACCTATTTGCTCGTGCTCAGCTTGGTATGCCAGCCAGCAACGTTCATCGTCCCTTAATTCCTGGCATCCTGTGTCAACTGCTGATTTCTGCTGAAGTCAGTCTTCTTGCTGACAGCTAAGAGCCCTTTTGCGGTTGGGTGCAAACAAAATTCTGACGCCAAGCTGCTGAAGAGCATGCAGTTTCAGCAAAGTGCTGCAGCATTCACGTTGTCACATTTCCCTTCTTCATCTTGCTGAATCGCGTTATGATAATTGTGGTAATGTTGCCAGTAACCTTATTCCAGCAGTAGCTGATTTTCATTGGGATCATGATGTCCAGGATGTTGGAACCTTTTGCCAAGCACTTTCGACACGTCATCGCATTTGGAGCGGCTTCGGAGAGTCAGCTGGTGCGTGGCTCAGTAGTGCGCCTCTGCTCCCGAGCTTCAGGCCTTGGGGGAGGCATGGGTCGCTTTCTGGCGGAGCCACTCGTGTCTGAGGTGGCAGAGCTTGCCAAGAGCACAGCGCCAGCAGGCGATGGGCGGCGTGTGGTGGAGATGCTGGCAGCGCTTGCAGGCTGGCCAGCAATGAAGGTGATGGAACTGCTGTACCATGATGCGCTGGAACAGGAACTTGAAGTACCAATACCAGCAATGTTGTGCCATGTGCAAGCAAGCCTCCAATTAGGTCCACAATCTCAACCCATTGCCAATGTTGTTAGCAGGGCATATAAAACATACACATGGAGGAGCAGCATGCCTCAAGAATACTGTGATGCTGGAAACTCAAAGCACAAGGTTAGAATTGTGTGAGCCTCACTGTGTTCTGCCATTTAGGCTGCTCTGCTGGACCTGGGAGCTGTGTCCGCACTGTCCCAACTGCTGCACCGGGCGGCCAGCCGTCTGGAAGAGCACCCAGACTCCCAGACAACCTGTAGCCTGGTGCTGGATGTGCTGTCCTCTTTGACAGACCCTGACATCTGCCTAAACCCCCTGGCAACAAGGGTGGAGCGGCTAAAAAATGACTGTCCCCCCACGACTGAGGCGGCTGTGATGGTGACGGCCCTGCTGTCCAGCATCCAATATCTTGGAGGTGCGAAAATTGATGTGTTGTGGGCTGAACTGCTGTGGAGACAGACAAAGGGGATGGGAGGGCAGTGGGAGGGCTGAAGTAATGTCCCTTGTGAGGGTTCAGAGCAAAGTGCCAGGGCCGAGAGTGCAGGTCAGGTTGCCAGAATGGGAAAGAACTGTGCACGAATTGTCATTACTGTGGCAGAGATGTGTTGATGCTATGTGGCTTACATCTTATATCTTATATCATTCGAACGGGACAGCTGTGATGTCGAAGGACAGTGCCAGAGGGGCACAATGGGGACAATGCGCTTTATTTTACCAGTGTTTTCAGTTTGCAAATGTACACTTGCTGTGAGCCATTCAATTGTTCCTTAATTTCGGTGCACAGACGATGCTGCCATCGCCGCATCCCTGATAAAACAGATGAGCTTCGAGGCAGCAGGAAGGGCTGCGATCCAGAGTGGCATTGGCCAGTGGCATGCCTCCCACAGGGCAGCCACGAGTGCAACAAGCCCATCGGGTGACAGGCAGCAGGCTGCGATGCGATGGGCCAAAGCGCAGCTCTGGGAGGCGGGTGGCCATATGCTGGGCAAAGACAACACATCCGTTGCTGGCAAGGCATGCAGGGAGCTGCTGGAGATGCTGTCCTTCACAGAGGCTGGGGAGCAGGAGGACCAGAAGAAGCAGGGGGAGCAGGAGGATGCTGGGGAGGACGGGACGGCACCCAGCCGCTTCAAGGCGGCTGTGCAGACTGCCGTGCGGATGGCATCCAGCACAGGTGCCCAATTGCTGATACGTTCCTTTGGTGCTCGTAGATCGGGAGCAGAATGCGCAAGGCAACTGGAATTTTTAGTGGAATGACAAACGTAAATGGAACAGAAAGATGATAAGCAGAAATAGATTAGGTATCACCCCAGCACAACCAACTTCATGAAAGGGTCAATTTTGGCAATGTGAATGAATGCAAGCAACAAGGGTGGAGGCAATTCACAAGCAAGCCGACATGAGGCATTTTTGTGCCGGTAGCTTTCACATAGCTTTTGCATTTCCCTCCTCACCGGTGCATAGCACATCGAAGTCTTTGTGCTGGCTTACAGTGTGAGGCTGCCGTGCTGAGAAGAACACAGGACATCAGTTATGAGGCAGAGGCCACTGCATTTTGTGATGAAGTTGAGCTTGCAATTGACCCTCACATATAATTTCGAAAGTGGAAATGTGCTGCAGGACAACACTTTGAACGTGATCCCAATCGTGCAGCACAACTGTAGTGACCTTAGCCTGGAACTAGGAAACTTGCACCCACCCATTGCAGATTCTGTGTCAGAATTGATCTGCATGAGTGAAGGACCCTCTGCATGAGTGGTCAAGAGTTCACGATGCGATGTTCTTGAGTTCTTTCAATCTCTGTATGACTGTTCACACCTCTATTCACATGTCCACCTTTGGCAGGGCTACATGGCACTGTAGTTTCTGGCTGACACTGAAGAAAAGCAAAGTTGGAGGGTGGCTTGAGATGAAAACATCTAAGCATGTACAGAGTTTTGTACTTTGTGTGCTCCAGGGGACTTCAGTGACCTCATCTCCAAGTCCACCATCAGCGAGATACTGGAGGTGCGCCCGCTGGCCTTTGTGTATGACACCGCCATGCAGCTCTACTGGCAGCGCTGCTCCCTGCAGAAGTCCAGGACCAGCCCAGCCAAGAAACTAGGCAGGTACGACCCCCAGTCCCCCGGCGCAGTTCCTGCTGCCAAGATGTTCAGCCCGGGCCTGGCCACAAGGAAGAGGCCCCGCGAGGTGCACAAGGGGGTCTACAGTTCGTCCACCAAGCAGGAGGCCCCGCGGATCGTGCACAGCCTGCAGGTGGAGGAAGACGCCCGGCGACCCAGGAAGGGGATTGAGGGGGGCAAGGACGTCGGCCCGGACGTGCCCCCTGTGCTGGCGCCTCCCAGGCGGGGGCAGGAGGCCAGACGGGTGCGCACTGGGGCAGGCAGCAGCCGCCCGCCGTCCATGCATGTGGACGACTTTGAGAAGCGCAACGTGGACAGGCCAGTGCCTCCGCCTGTGGCCCCAGCAGTGGCGACACAGCCTGCTGCGGCGTCTGTGGTGGAAGCCGCCCCTGCCAGTGGGCAGAAGCCATTGGAAGGGAGGAGGAGCATTCCGCCGGCGCCTCCGAGGCCACCGTTGGGCCCGCCTCCACCCGGCACCCCAGCGGCCGCAATTGAACAGGTAATGAAAGAGGGCCCCTTGGATACTGTCCTCCCACTGTTTACCCCAAGGGAGTTGATTGTCTCTTGGGCCCCGATGCACTGGGGTGAGGCTGTTGGTTTCTTGTGGCCTGCTGGATTGAATGTCACATCAATCCATCAGGCCACAAGAAACTATGTTATGTCAGATCACTGCTGGGTTGGTTTCACACTCGCGCTGGCCACTGTTTGAAAGTATGGCATTCTCATTGCTTTCTCTTGCAGGCCAAAGCTCCATCAGGCACTCCCAAGGCACCTTCATCCAAGCCAGACGAAAAGCCTGACGGCGGCAGCGTTCTGGATGGGCAGCAAGGTGCAGATACCGATGGGCAGGGTGCGCAATCGGAAATGGCTGCATCGACAGCTACCCCGGCCAGTGCTGCGGCAGACGTCAAGGACCAAGCAGGACCCGACTCCCCAGATGACCTGTCCATGGCCGATTTCAAGAGCACTTCAGAAACTACAGTCACGGTTCCCAGGCCTCAAGGACCCAGCATGCTGGGCTCAGACGATGGCAAGCATCCTCCTCAAGGGCCATCTGACAGGACCCAGTCTGTCCAGGGAAGCAAGCCAGCAACGGAGCTGGGCGCTGTTCCAGGTTCCGGCTTGGCCCCCAGCCAGCCGCCCCCGCCGCCCGCTGTAGCTCCCCTGTCCATCTCCATCCCGGCCAGCAACTCCGCCTGGCGGGGTTCTGCCGGCAGCCACCCAGGCTCAAAGCCCCAGGGTCGGCCCCGCTCCCCATGGCGCCGCGATCCTCAGGGCATCGAGCATGACAGGTGGCCAGCACGGCCCATGCGGCGATCAAGGTTTGGTGCCCCCCAGGCACCTCAGCGGCCAGAACCCATGCAGCCTCAGCCCATGCAGCCCCGACCACCACCCGTGCCGATGACGAACTCGCGGGCATACCTGCCTCGCATGCCAATGCCTCCCCTACCGTCCTCAGGAGGGAGGGGCCGGGGGCCGATGGGCCAGGGGGCCCACCCTCCACAGGGCGGGCTTGGGCGTGGCAGGGGCAGGGCGCCTGGGTTGGACAGTTTTGGAAGGCCTGGAAGGCATGACTGGGACAGACAAATGGCCACCGGCCCCCCGTTGGGACTGCCGCCAGATGACATCGTTGCTCCTGGACTCGGCCTGAATTCTGACATGCAGCCCATGGGACCAAGGCCGCAGATGTTCACCCAGCAGATGCAGGAGTCACCACGATCTGGGACACCATCCACTGAGGTGGCACAGGTCGCTGTGGGCACCTGTGGAACCTCTGGCTTGATTGCTCCGGCTCCTCTGCCTGTGCAGTCAGGGGAGGCTGGTTCAGCGGGTTTTGCACCAAACCCGGTCGTGGGGACGGGGTGCAGCCAGCAGGAGGGGCCGCCTGTCCCTGCTAGTGCACCTGCAGGTGACAGTGCGGCTGCGCAAGGCAGTGGCAGCATGGCTCCCAGTGCGGCGTCCATTGCGGTGAGTTGTGCACCTGACTCGCGGCGTCCAGTGTGTGCTGTGAGCTCTTGTTGGCAGATATAATCTGTGTGGCACTTTGTGCAACCTAAGCCCTCGACAGTGCTACCAAAAGGATCGCAATATCATTCGCGGGCATGTGAACCTGCTGTCTTGCTGCTTTGTGCAAAATGTATTGTGCTGTAATGGATAAAGGAGCTTATGGTGTGCACCGCTCAAGGTGTGTTCAGCACTTGTTAAATATCCAACAATCACGTGTCACCAAGTTCCCATGTGCTTGGTGGTGTCAAATCATGCAGTCTTGAGCGTGGCTACTGCCCTATTCGTTGCCAACGCCGTCCACTGTACCCAACTAACCCGAACGCTGAAACCTGGCTCTGTTTCAGAATCTGCTCCGCGATCCAGATCGTCTGAAGCGCTTGCTCAAGCACCATCCCCAGCTGACGGCAGTGCTTCAAGGCCACCTGGGGGGCCCGCGGCCAGGCCAGCCCCCTGAACCCAGCGGCGCAGGCTTGTGATCAACACGGAGGTGTCCAAGGTTTCTTCTGAGAGGCTGCTGCCACGAGACGTGTGAGATGTGCTGTGTGCTGTAAGATGGGGTTCCGAAGCTGGGTGGTGTATTTCCCAACGTGTAAGCCCAACAAAAAGCCGTGGGTGCTGTGTGGGAGGATTGGCCTTGCCACGCGGCCGTGCTGTGGGTTCCCATGGTGTCCTTCCCAGGTGGGCTGCTGCGGGTGCGATAGTTTCTTTGGGGCTCAACGGCCAAACGCGGCCACAATTCTTTCCAGTCTCCGCCACAGGAATTTGTGCGTGGGCTGAAACTCAGCCATAGATAGGACCCTTGCCTGCACCTCGACACCAACAGTACCTTTATTTATGTCGAGCCGTCTTACTATTCAGTTAGGGGTGGGGAGGGGCGGGCCCGTGTGGCTGTATGGGCTGCAGGTTTGCAGGACGGTGGTCAAGGTTGTTCGCGCCCATGTGGTGTTTGTGCGTTAGAGGAGGGGGGGAAGACAGCAGTGGTGATTTCCCATTTCTTTTCTGGGCGCCCTGCGTCCATGGAGAAACGAAAACTGGATGAACGAAAACGAAGTGAACGAGCACTGGCCAGAGAACCGCGCTGGAACTTGAACGCACATTGACGTTTAACTTGCAGGGCTGCATCTCGTGGATGTGGCGCACACCCCGTGCCCAGCAAGCTGCGAGAGCACTTGATGTTTGTGAGGGCGGGTGCAGCGCAGGTGGTTGGCACTGTTTTTTTGGCATGGTGACATGCCGTCGTTGTCAACCCGTTCTTGGGTTGATCAGTTGTTTGCACAGGTGAGTTTGCTGAATCGCAGATGACCAATCGATGCGAGTAGCTCAATGCCCAGTACCAGCCGGTTCACCAATTGGTATGTGCAACTCACTCGTTTCAGAGGGAGACCAGCAGCCCAACACAAGACTGTGGAAAGCGCATGCGTTGAAGCAGTATGTGTCAGCAAAAAGCGCAAGCAGAGCAAAAAGGCAACGAAAAGTAGGAGAATTGCACAAAGCGAGCGAATGGGAGTTGAAAAGTCGGAGAATGGAAGCGAGCGGCGTCTGGACCAGGGCCAAGGTGCAGAAATGGAGTTTTCCAATTGGAGCCTGGATGCGCTGCCTAGCTGGCAAGAATTTGGCAGATGGGACATGGCGACATGCCTGTCCAGGAACTAGCAATCATTGCAAGTGATGTGCTAACAGCACATCAGGATACGCAACTACTTTCCAATGCGATTTCAATCGCATGCACTATTGTAGCGTGTGAATCATTCTGCAAGGTGCTGTCGTCATCATCAAATTATGATGATCAAAGGTCCCCACCATTGCCGAGCTGCCAGCACTCGGAACATGCTGGCCACAGATGCCTGACGACTTCTCAATCTGTTGGACGACGCACTGCACCAATGTGCTTGGCCCCTGTCACATCAAATTTCGCCCCAATTTTGCATCAGTGCGAGCCTAGGCCGCCTGACGGGCCAACAACTTTGTCAATGAGCTTAAATCTGGCTGGCAGCCCATGGGCTGGCGAAAGCACCGACAGGCAAAATGTCGTGTCAGACACATCCGGGGGATGCATTGTGCTGCTTGATGCTTCGTTGAGTGAACAAGTATAATGCGCGACTCGACGTCCATGTCATGCCATGCAAAATGGGATCAATGCCAACAAAGTGAAAAGCCACTGGCCATTGCTTTATTCGCAGCGCACGGGCTGTCTGGCCGAAGGATACTGGTCATGCTGCCATGCATCGGGGTTTGAACCTCATTTCACAGCCATTCATTGGGGGTTGCGACGGCGGGGCCACATGGTAGATGACCTTGGGTCAAGCAATGGGGCCACCTGCCATCGATTCGAAGATCGCTTTGTCTTTGAAAGGCAATTGCTAATTCGCTGTTAGTCATTGGGCCACGTAACCCTGTGATGTGCTCATGACCAACAAAAGGCGACTGACTGGGTGTCACTACAATGTAGACCAGTCAGTTTGACATTGACAGCCGCCCAGCGTTGCAGAAAAGCAAAAAGCACGCTGAAATAGCAGCGCAATATTGGCTAGTAGTTAGGACGCATGGCCAGCCCGTTTCTGGGCATCAAAAGGGAAAGAGTGACATGGAGATGTTGAAAAACACTCAAAGGCCACACAGAATGCTACTCGTACTTTAATGAGGCATTTAATGTCCGCAAGGACCATGCAGAAAAGGTCCCAAAGCAGCACAAAAGAGATATGAGACAGACCTGACGATGAAAGGTCAAAAGCCTAGGGTAAGCGATGCAAAATTTTTCCCAGAATGCAGCCAGTATGGATATAAGATAGACTAGAATATTATGCATGATACTTAATTATGAAAAGTAAGGGCAAAAGGGGGGAGATGCTGCCAAAATTTTGAGAACATACAGCACTTGTGGTGGCAGGTCTGTGCAGCGGTTTGGGAGAAATCTAAACTAGAATCTATGACAACGAAGGTGAAAGAGCTATTGAAACAACGGCTGAGCAAAGGGTACAATTTGATTCTGGTAAGAATTGTGAAGAGTATGGTTATGTTAGGACACAGTGACGTGGCAATTTTTCATTGGTTTCAGGTGCAATGCATCAGGTGCTGTGAATAACAATGTCCTTGATGAGCAGAATGGCTTTAGGAACATGTCCTAGTTCAGGATATAAGTGCACAATAGTTTAGCAGCTTAATTTCATTGTGTAAGGATGTATTGATCCTCAGAAGATGGACCCTAGGCCGTTGAGGGGCGTCCAATGGTATTGCCTTGAGATTGGAGAAACAGCCCGTCATGAAAACTGGAACATTTTGATACAATACTCGAGAAAATATGTTGTCTGTCATTGGCCTGGTCGGTGTGTTGATTGAAGTTGTAGGCTATTTGAGGAACGTTGGAGAATTGCGTCATTTTCTTGAGATATACTCCCTCCGTCCCAAATTAAATTGCAGTTATGGACCATGGGCCTCGAAAACCTACCAGATCATCTCGGATTTACACAAAACTTTGCGTCAATGTTTTAATTTGAGTCTAGTCTGTGCTCCCAAAATTCTGAGTTAGTTGGCTGAGACTGGAGCAAGCTAGGAAATGGGCCTGGAAGATGCATGTGCGGTTCCGCGATCGGGGAACCGCAATAAGGTAACATATCTTCATAAAGAGACAACATGCTGTTGCACTGCTTTCGCGCAATAGCCAGTCCAAAACTGACCTGCGCTTGAGGAAATGTTGTACAAGGCACTGGAGTGGATTTGAGATAGATGTCGCACTTTCACACTCTGAGATTTAAGCTTCAAGCTCCAAAACACTTTTGTAGTTTGCGGTCATGCAATCGTTGCGCAACAAGTCTTCCCGGATGATATGCCTTACTTGCCACGCCACCTCTTGATTCTTGTTTGCTGTGCACAGGTGCAAAACCTGGGAGTACTGCCACAA